CCCCATGGATTCCAGGCTGGTATCGAGCATCTGAGGTAGGTATCAGTCGTCTCAGGTTGATTTCTCCAAGCTGAATGTAGACAGACCTCTTCTTTCCCTCTTTTGAGTTCATGATGACGATGTTTCCTTTTTTGTAGGGTTCATGCCCCACAGAGGTCCCCAAACGTGTGAAGAATCATGAGGACGAGAGAGCCCCACGGCGGGGAGCCTACCTTCTAGTTTGAACTTCGAAACATGTAAGGCGGCAGGTGCCCCTATCGTGGAAATGGCAATCAAGGCTTTCCCTCAGGAGTGCTCAGCAATGCAAGTTGACTGAGCAGACCGTACATGTTAATGACTGAGTTGACTTTCGGATTCCAGGAGAGTTCCTTAAGCTTCCTAGCAACCCCCTTGACTAGATCGTTGTATTTGATGGCGGTGGGTTCGTCCGGCCATGACCTTGTACGTTTTTGTTTTTTGCTTGTAGCATGAAGTTGACTGATGTGACATCTGACTGAAGTAATTTTGAATTCATATGTTTCTTTTTCTATACTTTGCATTACGAATACTTAGTAATTTATTCGGGGATCCGACTTCTCTAACCTCCCAAGGGGCGTTTAGGCTGGCGTGGCCGAGCCTATTCGTGCCCCACCCAGTCAGATAGAAGTGATCTGTTCGCTGTTGATATGGAATCAACAAGTATGCGACTTGTTCGGCGAGCAAGGTCGGACATTGAACCTACGAGGAGGACCCTTAGGTCGGCATCCTGAACGTTCATGACCCGGGGGTCAGTCCTACTGTCGCTTTAACCCGCCAGTTTGCCCGGAGCTGGGGAATAATCTGGTTACTCCCGCAGGGATAGCCAAACAACAGGGGCGGACCCTGCACGATCCACTAGAATGGACCCGCACCGCCAACTCGGGGATGGCGAGAGTGCAAGCTGCTTGGCCAGCGATGTTAGGTGGTGAGCACTCGAAAGGACCCAGAGGTCAACATCCTGAGCACCCTTGACCCGGAGGTCGGCCTTACTGTCGCCTCGACTGTCACGGCTAGTTCTTTACTTTAGAAAATTGCTCAGATTCTCGAAAATCGCTTGGCTATTTTTAGTTCAAGAGCCTGACCGAGGTCGGCCAAACACCGAGGGGGGGGGGGCATAGTACCTTTTTTTCTTTTTTTTTTCTTTTTTTTTTGCCGCCGCCCTTCATTGCTAAGTGAGGTCGGTCCTCTTTTGAAGACCAAATTTCGTATGCAAAGTAGTTGAATTTTCATAATGTGAGTGGAACACGTTGAAGTCATAATCCCATGTTTTGGAACTAATCGAGGTCCGATCATGAAGGGACCTTTCCCCTTGATGGGGAGCTTTCCTCTTGGTCTCCGAGGCGGTTTCAGCACAAATCTGACCCTTCTCGCGCTTTAGTGCCTTGTCGTTGATCATGTGGACCCTCAAGTCCTTTTGACCGATTTGCTTGCAAGCTTTCAGATATCAGCTCCTCGCCATCCGTTGGTCTCCCCTGAAAACTCCGACACCATTCGGAGTGGGGAACTTCATGCATAGGTGTTCATGGGATATTACACACCTCAAGTCTTCCAGGGCTGGCCTTCCCATGATGATCTTATGCGCACAAGTTAGGCGTACGACAATAAATTCGACGTCTAACCTGGATACGCAAGGCTCGGAGCCCACCATCATGGGGATGACTATGCTGCCCTCCGACTCAATGGAGTCACCGGTGAAGCCTGAGAGTGGGGTTCTTACCGGGATCAAGTTCTTTCGCTCCAGGGCGAGACCCTGGAAGGTATCATAGTACATGATGTTAACAGAGCTCCCACTGTCCACCAGGACTCGGTGAACGATGGTGTCATTGATTTCGATCTTGATAACCAAGACGTCCCTGTGCGGCGGAGGCATTGGTGGCAAATCTGCGTTGGTGAAGAAGTTAGGATCCCTCTTCACCCTCTTGTCGACGGGGGCCCTGGTTATCTCCCCGACATACAAGGCTCGGGCCCACTGCTTTCGTTCTCCAGAGGTGTCACCCCATGGGGTCCCCCAAATATGTACGAACATCGATGGTGCTTCCTGGATCCATCCCCCAGGTCAGTATCCTCTACCTCGGAGAGGGCACCGAGCTCTCGCTTCTTGGTGGGCTGTTTCTCCCTTGACGTGGGAGCTTGGTCGGACCGCTGCCATACCAGGCTCCTCTTTTGTGGCATGTTTCCTTGTTTGCCAACAAATTGGCTCAGGTACCCTTTCTGGATGAACTCTTCAATCTGCCGTCGGAGAATGACACATTCATCTGTATCATTCTGTGCTCTCCGGTGGAATCGACAATATTGGTCGTGGTCGCGCTTGGCGGTCACCACATCACACTCCTCCGGAAAGTCAACTAGACCTTGCTCCTCCGCGTAGTCGAAGACGGCCCCGACCGACTGAGCAAGTAGAGTAAATTGTTGGACGGGCAGGAGCGGTCCACTCAGGACGTCCGCCTTGCCCTTGCCTTTACTCTTGTTACCATTGTACTTGTTGTTTTTGCCGCCGGCTTTGCCATCAGTTTTCTCGGCTCCCGAACCAGCTTCCTTTTTCTTCTCTTCTTTTGCACCTTCTTCCTCATCTCTCTTCCTCTGCAAGGCGTCCTCCACCTCGGCTTGGCGGTCGGCACGGCCAAGCGCCTCCTTGTACGAGGTAGGGGGCGTATGATGAAATCTTTGTAAAGCTCGCCAGACCGGATAGAGTTTGTGAGCATGGCCACCCCGATCCTGTCATCAAGGCCCTGAACATTGATTAACTCGGCCCTCCACCTTGCTAAGAAGGTGGATAATGATTCATTCTTCCCATGTTTCAGGCTGAACAGGTGGCTGAAGTTTTCTTGACGTCTCGGGAGCTTGCGAACCTTAAGACAAAGTGCTGAGCCAACTCACGGAAGTTCGTGATACTCCCATCGGGCAGAGAGTCATACCATTCTCGAGCCAGGCCATCCAAGGTGGTAGAGAAACCGCGGCATCGGATGGCGTCCTCGTACCCCATCATTACCATGTAGGAAAGGTATCGAGATACATGATGTTGGGGGTCAGAACCCGTGTATGCTTCGATGGCGCAATGCTTGTAGCCCCTGAGCAACGACGCATCCATGATCACCCAGGTGAAAGGTTCGGGTATCCGGAGGTCGGCCGTGTAAGGCTCCCCCCGACAACCCTTCTTCTCAACTGATCGAGGCACTGTCGTAGATCTTCCACCTCGGCCGGTGCTGGGTTTCCCCGGACAGCCCCAGCGCGGGGCAGGTCCAGCGGCACCTCCAAGTCGTCCGTGCATGTGAGGTAGGGGCCCCACGTTTTGCCTCTCCATGGAGCCAATCCGACTGCTCGCCCAGTGAGAGTGGCGAGAGGGCTCGCCTCCCTCCATTTGCATTGAGCGCCCCTGCCGGGCGCCCCTCCCATCCTGCCGATGGGACCCGCTAAGCTGCTGGGAGACTTCTTCCCTTCTTTGTTGGTTGGATCCAGAGCGTCGCTCGTCACGCCGCCTGGAAGACACCTCCACATCTGCCAACGTCTGTTGACGGGCAGGCTCATCCATGTTACCGCCAGACACCATTTGCTGGAAACCTTGAGCCAAGGCTCCCGGAAATCGAGTTGCCTCCTGTAGGGCTTCCACCCCGGAATTGAGTCGAGCCGGGTCCATGCACGGAGCATGACGTCGGCCTCCCCCCACCGGCTGCGGACCGAGCGCTCACCCTGGGTGTGGTTGAGTGTCGCCCTCAGGTTGCCGTGGCCTAAAAACCGGTTCTGAAGGTCGCTTTGGCGCGCCGCCCCCTACTTTGTCCATGGTTGTCAGGGGCATGCTGGCGGCTAGGCCGGGTGGATTCCTCGGTGTGGACTGAGACATGGTCACGTCGGGATGAGATTCTGGCCATCTTCCTTTGTGGTTCCTACTCGAGCGATGTGAGAGACAATAGGGGCTCTCAATGAAAGCACCAATGTTGGTCCAAAATAGGGCGCTCGTAGGCTTTTAGGAAAGCTACGTAAGAACACTCAACCCGGAATTTAGGAAAATAATGCGAATAAGGAAAGAAACTAAAAGTGTTTAGTTGCCAGAAATAGCATATCTCTATTCGAAATTCAAAATTGCCTTTTATAGGCGATTACAAATGGTAACCGCCGAACATAATAATGACTAAATTAATTACAACATTAACACGGAATTAAATACATAATTAATAGCGCATTGATTGTTGGCCGAATGGCCGTTACTCTTCCTGGCTGGCTAGCAGGTCGACCTAGCTAGCAGGCAGAACGCTTGAGCTCCTCGGGCGGCAGGCTCCTCGCTGGGCTGGAGGACAGGATCCTCGCTAGGCCGAAAGGTAGACTTCCGGTTGGGCCGGTAAGCAGGTTCCCCGCTGGGCTGGAAGGCAGGCTTCTAGTTGGCCCGGTAGGCAATCTCCCTGCTGGATTGGAGGCAGGTTGCTGGCCGGGCTGGAGGCAGGCTGCTGGCCGAGCTGGAAGGCAGGCCATCTTGGGCTTCTGCTCCTTGATGGGCTTGATCAGTTGGGCTGGCTCGAGCTCTGGGTCGCTGGGCCTAGGCTTGCTGGTCCAAGTTCGGGGCCTGGACCGATTAGGTTCTAGGCCTAGTCCTATAACCCCATCACATACTCCCTTCATGCCAAATTGATTTGCAAAGTCAATATTTTTTATCAAACAATGTTAAAGTTAAATCTTCCTTATTGATAATTAATTCGATGTTTAACAATTCAAATTTACATATTCAGAAACTAAATTAAAATCTTTTCAAAGTTGCAAACTCAAAATTAGAATATAATTAAAATTTGACATCTCAATTAAGTTAATAAAATGAAATTATTTGATAAAAAAGTTATTTTTTCAAATCAATTTGGGACGAAGGTAATACTTGACAGGGAGAAAGATCTTGTAAACCTGGTTTCAGTAAACCTTCTTTTAGTCCACAAGTAGTTTTTATATACTCCATATATACGTATATGTATACCCATTCAGTCCCATAAAATTCTTCCCACATGGATTTGTCACATAATTTGGTTTTATTCAATAATCACTTTCATGACTGACATTGAACCAAATCACAGCAAAACAAAGAAAAAAGAAAACTAATCCGGAAAAGTCAGCCCTAATAAAACCAAATCAAATTCTCACTTATGATCCCCAACCAAGAACTTGTTTTACAGTCTTGCGCAATTCATACTTCCTAATTCCTACATACACACTATATTCGTGGCAAAGATTATTAGCAGCACTTCATAATCTCCTATTAGAAAAAAGGGAAATCAGGAAAGAAATTGCAGAAATGTCAATGGGAGGAGGAGAACCAGATAGAGTTCAATCGACAGTGCATAATCTTGGATCAAGCTTCGTAGAAGAAGATAGTACGCCGTTGTACAACCAAATGATTCTACCGGTTTCCTCTCAACCTAACTCTTACCAGCTCTCTGCCGGATACGGTGGTGAAGAGGCGCCTCCTACGGCTTCAGCTCAGCCCAGTCTCAACCCTAGCGTAACAGAAACGGTCAAGAAAAAGAGAGGAAGGCCTCGAAAGTACGCTCCCGATGGGAGTAGAAACCCTTGGATGATGTCTCCTGTAAGATCTTTGTCCCCAGCAGGGACACGCGCAGCGGAGACGGAAACATCTCCCAAGAAAAGGGGCAGGCCTTCTGGGCGTGGACGGAAGCGGAAAATGGATGAAATTTCCGCTTCGGCTGCTGTTCCTGTAGGTATGTATGCCTGCAATCTGCATTGGCTATTTTCCCAATAATGTTCTTCTTCTTCTGATTAATTATTATTAAAATTACTTTCTTGTTTAAAAAGTTGTTTATTTTTTTTTTTGCTATTTTATATTAATATAAAATAAAAATAGTTTTTTATTTATTAAAGTTATTTATTTTTCTTGCTATTTTATAAAATAACAATAGTTATAATTTACATTATACTTTATTAGTCGGAGTTGGACAATACTCCTTATAATATACGCAATAACATAAAACTTCATGTATATATCTATTAATTTACGATTGGGAAATTTGAAATTCTTTTAGTCAGGCTTTTAATGTCTTCTTTAGTATAATGGATTATTGGTCCACACCGATAGTTGGGTATTAATTTATTTCTTCATTGTTGATAACTTTTATTTTTCCACTATATAAGTGGAACTTATAATGTCTTCACTGTCATAAGGGGGTTCTTGGGTTGGGGATTTAGGGGGCAAGACAGGAGGGATGATATTAATTTTGTAGATAAGCTATAACGCTCTGCATTTTGATTGTTGGAATTAAAGTGAGGATAAAAACTATTTAGAAATACATGGTCTGTTGGTCTAAATAATCATATACGTAGTAGTTATCATAAGCCTAAAACCAACAAATATAGATATATAAGTAAAACCAGTCCTCTCAATCTCCTTCTCTCCGAAACCCCTAACCAAATAAGTCATTTGGAGCAATATGTCCAGCTGCTTAAATATGTTATTGATGGCGTTAATTCTTATTTGTCTCCAAGTCACTTATAACATGTGAATATGCAGGATCACCAGGAGCTGGGTATGGATTTAAACCACATGTCATCACAATAAATGCTGGAGAGGTATAGTCTTATTACTACTCTGATTTTTATCCCACACCATCTCTCTCCTTTTTCTCAGCTTTAAGGTGTTTGTCATTCTTCTGTACACATTTCCCGTTCTACCTTCCTTTATGCGTCTTTGGCTCTACATGTTATTCATGTTTGCATTTCGAATGCCGTTAGTGTAATTATGAATTTCCTATGGTCTCATTGCCTGAAGGGAGATAATTTTTAAAATGTGGTCAGTTGATTTGGTCAAAATACAGGAATTCCTCTACCTATGTAACTTTCAGTAGAGCTCCTTCTAGATTTTCCTTGCTCTGTTGCTGTTTTGAGTGTTTTCCAATCCACTCTTGCACACAACTTGAACAGTGACTGATGAAGTAGATATCCAGATAATAGTACAAGTAGACCCTTCCTTTCATTTTTGAAAATAAATTTCCACTTTATTTCTGATTCCTACGGGTTACGGCTCTGTGTGAGAAAATTTGCCCTCCTGTTTGTTATAAACTTATAATTCGTCTAGCCCATCTAACTCTTCAAGCAGTTTCTTTTTTGGTGTGCTTTTAATTTAATAGAATATACAGATATGTTTTTCCTAAAAAAATATCACACTAGTCTAAAGATATAACATTGCCATTCAAATTCTCAATATGCAACTTGGTCGAACAGTAACAATGCATCATGATCCAAACAAACATTTGCAAAAGAAAGTACACCACTACTTTCACTGTTTTCTTCTTGTACTTGGATTAGCTTCAGTTGCTTAATGTTTGAAGTTTGTACATCCAACTCAGTATTTTTAGTTGTTCTTGACAGGATGTACAGGCAAAATTGATGTCGTTTTCTCAAAGCACATCCCAAGCAATCTGTATTATGTCTGCAAATGGTGCCATATCTAATGTCTCTCTTCGTCAACCAGCAATATCTGGCGGGTCTGTAACGTATGAGGTTTGTACTCGTGTTTTTTTAACACTTATTACCACACCCCTTTTGGATATATTTAAATTCCAATAACACCAAGAATTTTAAAAAGGGAAAATCGCACTTTTAGTCCCTGAAATAGTCACCATATTGAAATGTCATACCCGTGTTCCCCAGTTTGTAAATATCACCCCTCAATTGTCCGAATTGTTGTAAATGTGGTCCTTCAAGGGGTGAAATGTACAATGTGGACATGGAGTAAAAAGCCTTATATATAGCTACTACTCTTGTGCACCTTTTAAAGGCATTATTATTTTTTACTAACTGTCACAATCCATTCCGAAGTTTCTTTTTAAAAATCATCTCCTCTAATTATGCCATACGTAGTACTACTATTGTTTAAGTAGATAATATACATAGAATAACTGGATAAGAGAGTACTATATATTAGGTTTTACTGTTAAGTACTTAAGTGTTTGTATGATAGTGCATACGTATATTTATACTAAGAATCTGTACTTACGGACTACTAAAACCAAAACTACATCTACATGTCTATATGATTAGGACATGGTTACATTCTGCTAATGGGATTGTTTGAATAAACTATACTGATTCTGTTGCATCGATTTTACTTTGTATTACCTTTTATTGTTTAATGTTTTGACTCGTTTTATGGGTACATATGAAATATGGTAAATGCTCTCATTATCCTGAAACGTTTTCCATTTGGGGGATTTCCCGTATACCAGTTTGGTCCAGTCATCCAGTGAGCAGAATTGTGTTGTTCTAAATTACATGCTCCCATGTTTCTTCCTTACATAAGGAGGTTAATCATTTTAATGCTTCTACAGGGACGGTTTGAAATTCTGTCACTTTCTGGATCCTTTATATTCTCTGAAGTTGGTGGTCAGCGCAGCAGAACGGGTGGGTTGAGTGTTTCTCTAGCTGGGCCAGATGGTAGTGTATTAGGTGGCAGTGTTGCTGGTCTTCTGATTGCAGCTGCTCCTGTTCAGGTCTTTCTATACAAACGGTTCTCTATTATTCTATATACAATGGCCTGGAGTCTTGGGTGCCTAGTGGACAACCTAGGCTAATACTCATTCCCGCTCACCGGTCAAGTTGCTTTTTTCCTTAACACAATTAAAAACTATTTTATAATTAAAAAGTCATGTCACAACTTGTTTTATATGGTTGTTGGTGTTATTTTTAAATCTGTGAGTTCGTTTATTACATTCAACTAAAAATGGCAACAATTTGAATACAAAAATGTTCAGTCTTTGCTTTGTTGCTTTGTTCAAAAACTATATAACCGGAACTATAATATTGTATTTTACATCTAGTATTTCTCTAAAGAAGAAAAGAGATACTTAAAGAAGGTAGCTTTTACCAATAAATGTCAGTTAAAGACTTAAAGATGCTTGGTGGGGTCTCGTAGCCAGAGTTTTAGAAGTTAGTTTTTTATAAACTTTAGGCGCGCGCGCACACACACACACAGATATATATATATATATATATATATATATATATATATATATATATATATATATATATATATATATATATATATATATATATATATATATACGGAGTACATATTTGAGATAGGTAACGTAGTCGAATTTTGTTTTGTGAAATTGTGTGATTTTCCTTGTTTGCATAGCGAGAAAGCCCTTGTTTGACATTTCTCATCATCTGCTACTGCTTCAGGTTATTGTTGGAAGTTTCCGTGTTGACGTTGAGAAGCTACAGAAGCCAGGCCGTAGTGAGAGGTTGTCTGCCTCTCCTCCTCCTCCTCCTCCACTAGGCAGGCCTCCGGCCGAGGGTCCCAGAAGTCCACCTTCATTTGGAAGCCTAAGCGAATCCAGCGGCCCACCCAGCCCTCCCGCTCCTACGGGTCATAACCAACATCTCCTTGAAACATCAACTAACCCTCCCGCCCCTACGGGTCATAACCAACACCTCCTTGAAACATCAACTAGGAGTCCGCCTGGAGTCTCAAGCTTTCCGTGGAGGTAGTAGGTTGAGCTTTCAAAGTATAATCCAGGCCTGTTTACAATGTTAACTCTTGTAACTTCTCGGTTCTAGGAACTCTACCCCCACCCCTACCCCTACCCCCACTCTACCACATCTTGAATGCTTCCATAAGAAGAAACTTTTAGCAATTTATTAGTGTAGCGAGCATGTAATGGGACGGCCACTGACTTCGGAATCTTCTTTTTTAGATAGGTAAGTGACACATTACTGGGTGAGTTCTTTCTAATGTGATTTGCGATTTCAAAGTAAAATTGAGTTCAGTTTTTCTTCTTCTATTGTCTAACCATGGATTGCAACGGAGCCAAAGATTCGTTATTTTTTGACTTGAGATTATGATGGAATAAAGCAAAATGGTTCACTAAACTGTCTGCGCTTCTTTGTTATGAAGCAACCGTCAGTCCGTGCAATTTTAGACGGGATTTTCACTATGGATCATCCGGAAACAAACTTTCTGTGCTTTAGTACAGAGGTAAGATTGCGTACATCTGACCCCTTTTACCCCACCGTAGGTGGGGAGCCTTTGCGGCACTAGGGTAAATGAAAATGAAATTGTCTAGCCATGGATACTTCACTAGTTCACTACTTATGTAGGATATTCGTACCGACGTAGAGTACGGGGACATATTTGTAACTTATTAAAAGTTTTCAATTTTGTTTTGTAATTATTTGAAAAATTAGATACATGTATTTTGACGTATACACGTCGTGTCTAACTTTTTTATAAAGATAATGCACAAAAATTACATTAGAAAAGTATTAAAAAGTAAAAACAAAAATTAATTCTAATTGATCCCACATGATCTTGACTAATGTTGCCATCCACTCATCCCTAATTGCTCTATCCCTAATTTGCTCTTAGAGAATTGCAAAGTCATATTTGCGAACTCATATTAAATTTCACTGATCTACTAACCTTTTTTCTATCTTTTACCTTCATGATTTTAAATTCTTTCAACAAGTAAGCATTTTAATAAGGAAAAATGGTCAAATACACCCTTCTACAATTGCAAATTGGTCACTTAAACTCTTGTACAATAAAAAAGGTCATATAAACTCATCTACTCTATAAAAACAATCGATCTCCCCAAATTACCTGAAGGTAACCTTTAATACCAAGTACCACTGATAACACGTGAATGAAATTCCAACTCATCTACACGATTGTTACGATGATGTTTGCTTCGAAATATATATATTATTGTAAATATCACACCATCATTATTTAATTTAAATAAATTTGTAATGTTTTTTTCAAAAATGTTACTAAAATAAAACATACTATTTGAACTAAAATATAATAATTACATATTGGTTTTTTTTTTCAAAAATGTTACTAAAATAAAACATATCATTACTATATTTTTAGACATAATGTAACATACCTATAAAAGTGTTACATATTTGTCAATGTAACACTTTGCTGGTATTGTAACACTTTTGGATGATACATTAGGTGTTGAAATGTTGTAGTGTTATTTGTACTAATAAACTCTAAAAAATGTAATTATAATAAACTATTTTTATTGCTATTATTATATTGTACAAATAAATCATGGAGTACTTGTGAAAGATGAAATTTGTAATTATGACGTACTTATGACTTTACAAAAATGTGACTAGTGATTAGATTAGTAATGAAATAATTGTAACTTATGGTCAAATTCTAAACTTAAATTACCATTACACTACATTGTAGTAACTATTAGTCATATTTATGTAAATATGTTTTATTTTAGTAAGAGTTTTGAAAAAAACCCGTGAAAGATTCAAAACTTCTATCAATATTATTTATAATTTTAATACTCCTATATAAATATTATTTTTACATATTGACCATCCAGATCTAAACACCTTTTGATTTTTAATGAAACACTGTACGTTTGGATCCATTTTTATTTTTATTTATTCTCATAAAAATTAAAAAAAAATGAATGAGAGTAATTTTTGATCATATAAATTTAATTTAGGGGCAATTACTCAAATTGGATTTAAAATGTCATCTTGATGGCATTTTGAGAAAAAAAAAATAGCAATTTTTTATGACATTAGTTTCATCGAATAGAGGTGACATTGCTGGGAGGTGACGGAGGCTGCGAGGAAGGCCTTCATTTTTTTATATCTTTATGTGTTTATCTATTTTTTTATTTATTTTTTAAGTTTTACTTTTAAAATATATTTAAGATTTTTTTTTTCTATTTTGTATTACTCCGTAATAATTTTTTTGAATGTTTGATATTTTTTACGATTTTGTAATTTATAAAAACTACCGGCACCAAGTGGACTCGAACCGCTGACATCATGTGAAGCACCGTGAATGACGTACCAACTTTACTACTTGAATTCTTATGAAAAAATCTACCTCAATCCGTATTAATACTGTAATGGCTCACACTATTATTACTGAAAAACAAACATACGAAGTACTCCGTATAATATAATTGATTATATGTTATATTAAACGGAAAGTAGACCAAAATAGCAGTACACAAATCTGTAAATGCACAAATAAGATAAAACTTTTTAAATTTATAAAAACTTTTGTTAAGGGCCAGGTTTGGGTGGGAGCTGGCTTCCCACGTGGCTTGCCATTAATTAAGGCAATAAAAAATAAATATGAGAGAAAGTGAAGGATGACTGCTATAATAGGTTACTTTAAGGTATTTTGGCTTATAATAGGTTACTTTTGGATATTTTGGCTTCAGTGATTGTTTTCTTAAAGTAGATGGGTTTATATGACCTTTTTTATAGTACAAGGGTTTAAGTGACCGATTTGTAATTGTAGAAGAGTGTATTTGATCATTTTCCATTTTAATAATGAGTTTGTAAAATACAAAAATAAGAGAATCTCATCGATTTGTAAAAGCATAACCAACTAATCAAGAAACCTGAATGAGATTGGATCAATACACATAAGAGTACACAATGATGAAAATCAATACAAATGTGTGGGTTCCAAGTTGGGGTATAGATGATGTGTTATGGTTTGAACTTGAAGAGGGAGAAGAATTGGAGACTATGACGAAGGTGAAAACATAAATTAGAGAGCGATATAGTGTGGCGATAGAGAAGCCTGGACTTGATTTTGGTTAATTGTCTTCTAAGGTTATATTTTAATGGCGTCGATCGGTGATGAGAGATCTGAATAGATGAATGGTATGGTGTATATACATGGTCTAGCAAATGCACGGGTTCCAAGTTGGGACATAGACGGTGTTTTCTGGTTGTGTATTTGAAGTGGAAGAAGACTGACGAATTGAATGAGATAAACCAAGGAGCTGTAGTTTCGCTGCCTCTAGTGAGACAATTCAGAAGTTGTTCTCTCCATTTGATATGAACTTTTCTGATCTGATCTGATGTGAATAAAATAAGAATAAGTAATAAGTAATAAGAATAAGATGAACAAAACAACTTCTCATTTTAATCATTGTTCTCTAGGATTATACAAAGTATTTCAATTTTAATTGCATCGAACAGTGGTGAGGAAATCGGATTAGATGAGCGGTGCCTACATGGTCTAGCGAATGGGCAGGAATGTGAAAGTTACACTTAATTGCTATTATGTATTAGATTAGATATGTATTACATTTGATTAGATTAGGTTACTCATGAACAATTGTATGTCGTAGTGTTCAGGGTTATGCATTCATCTCGATTAAAATTATACACTTAATGTAGTTTACAAGGAAGTCTTAAAAAAATAGTACGCAGAGTAACTATTTTGGAGAATTCCACACAAATGAATAAACTACTAAGATAAATGTTTGTAGAGGTTTTTTCCCTTCAACCTGTAGGCCCAACACACAACCTAAGGGTTTCGAGTCGAGTGAGTATTTTAATAGACTAAGATCAAACAAGCGAGAAAGGCCCAATGAGGAGTCTCAATATAATTTTAAGGCATGATGCCGTTCGTGCCACTACTATGCTATGAGCTGCAATGAATGCTATAATGCTAGAGTACTAAATCCCGATCCGTTACAATGAAATAAATGCTCCCTTTTATACCGCCAATGGGTGGCTAGATGCATTGAAACCAGTTGTGGGTGATTTGATCCTGACTACCAAATATTCTGCATTAAATGCGTGACCCCTAGGATCTTGGCTTCACGCCAAGGGGTGGGCATGTTCGTCCCCATGCGTTTGCATAGCTTGACCCCGACCATCATATCTTCTACATTAAATGCGCAACCGCCAAATATCCTGTATTAAATGCGGAATCCCGTCAGGATCTTGGTTGTCCGCCAAGGGGTGGGGCCGTTCGTCCCCAAGTTCTACTATTGGACCAAGGTATATGCTACGCTAGGATACGCACGTCCCCGGGATGATGGGGAAGGGTATCCCGTTGTCTTGGGCCTTCAAAAGACGTTCATCCCCATGAGCCTAACTGTTGTTGCCTTCCGAAGTCCTGCGAGACGTGTGTCTCTTGCTGCCCCTGGGCCAAGGTACATTGTACGCTAGAATACGTACGTCCACCGGATGATGGGGAAGGGTATCCCGTTGTCTTGGGACTTCAAGAGACGTTCGTCCCCATGAGCTTGTCTCTGGTTTCCCGTTGGACCCGAGATCCTGCGAGACGTGCATCTCTTGCTGCCCTTGGGCCAAGGTACCTGTCATGCTAGGATACGTACGTCCCCTGGGTGGGGAATGGTATCTTGCTGTCATGGGCCTTCAGGGGACGTTCGTCCCCATGGGCCTCCTGCTGGCAAAGTCCTTCGAGATGTACATCTAATGCTGCTCCTGGGCCATGGTACCTGCTATGCTAGGACACATGCGTCCCCTAGATGGGGAAGGGTATCCGTTGTCCTTGGCCTTCTGGGGACGTTCGTCCCCATGGTCAGTCCTTCGAGACGTACGTCTAATCTTGCTCCTGGGGCAAGGTACCTGCCACGCTAGGTTACGTACGTCCCCTGGATGGGGAATGCTGTCCCGCTGTCTTGGGCCATTTTGGGGACGTTCGTCCCGATGGGCCTTAAGGGTTCATGGGCCTAACCCCATTGGGCCATTAACCCAACACAAGTCCCCCACTTCTGATGCTCCGAGCGTGCACGGGATATAAGGAAGTAGAATTGAATCCGGTGTACGTCGCCAGCTAACACCTTTGGCGCCTCCCAAGTCGCCGAGTCACGTTGTGTCTCATGATGTGCATCGCCTGAGATGGGTTTGGTGCCTTCTTTCCCTTGGAATGTAGTTACCTTCTTTCCGGGTTTGGTGCCTTGGAGCCGATGTATCCTACGGGACAAATCTCTTCCCTTGGGCTTTTCCCAGGGGGTCTCACCAGAAGGCTTGGGTTTAGGGGACGATCGTATCGTGGTTTTGAAGTAAAACTGTTTCCACCATACTGCCTTTAGCTGACGCCCCTGACGCGA